CCCCCAGTTTTTTCCCCTTCTACATTCTTCCTCGTTTGGGTTTTATACTCCATCTCTCGAAACCCTCCATTCCTTCCCAATTAATTCACCACCTTTAATTCGCCTGTTACAAATCATTTTGATTTCAATCTCCTCCGAGAATTTCGCTCTCCCTTGATATCGGCTCCAGCTCAATCGCTATTAATGGTGGTCGTAATTATTGAGTTGAATTTGAAACGTAATTACTCGTCTTTCTCCTTTTGGGCTGTAATGACCAAATAAACATATTGGGCTTTATTGTGGATTCAAATCTAAAGCCAACAGTTTGCCCCCAAGTCTTTCAAGTCATGTTGATTGGAAGACTTAAGAAAATCGTTGACATAAATGCTCGTATATTTTCATGATTTGAATCACGTCCCTAATATTCAGCTTTAGAGGATAATAGCGGGAACTTTCCAAATATTGCCTTTCCGAATTAAATCTTAATTTTTGATATCTTCTTCTTCACGCCCAAGGCTTTGCATAAAGGTACTTCTCTATATTGTCTTGTTCACATCACGCTTGCTTCGTAAAGAGGTAATATATCTTCCTTGTTTCTCTTTTTCTACCTCCTTTGTTTCGACTATTTACCTTTCAAGGTTACTTTCAATTTTCCGTGGGTTGTTTGTTATAATGTCGGAAACGGGTTATCGCGCTGGACGGAAAATCCAAAAGACAAAGGAGGCAGCTGGTCTCACTCTTGTCGTTTCACCTAGTGCTCCATGTCCCGTTGAACCCAGCGATGCTCAACTTGCGGTCGTTGCTCCTACTGGGCCTAGGTTTTCCTTGGTTTCGGGAATACTTGCTTCGAGCAACCCAAATGTGAAACGATCTACCAGGTCCTCTCGCACATCGTCGTCGAAATTAACTGCCCTGACCGCTTTGGTCATTGGTGATACTGATGAAGGAAATCAACCAGGCGGAACAAGAGAAAGATTTTAGAGACTGGGGTTAAAACCCGGAGTGGAGCAAAGAAGCTACGGTATTATTGGGACTTCGAGTTCAACTCCAACTACTTAATCACGGAGGATGCCGCATCTACGGCTCATTTATTCAGACACTTCAGGAAGCTGGGGTGCAGGCTTCCATCGTTCAATAGGCTAGCTCAAGAAGATAACGAGAATTATCACAGCTTTGCGACGTGCTGGGCAGGTAGCTCCTTTCTTACCGTTCATTTCGTTCTTTGATAAATATGAACATATATGTTATTTTATTTCTGACAAGCATTCTTGTGTTTGTAGCTTATCGCCGCCTCCAATCGGACTATTGACTCATACGAACGTCGCCTCCAGAGTGTTCCTCCCCCAGTTGATCCTTCAGAGACAAACGCCACTACCACTGCCCTTAACGCTGAGCTTGAGAATTTGTGTGCTGCAGCAACAGAGAGTGCTGAAGCCGTAAAGCTTTCTGAGGAGCGACTCACTAGGGTTAGGGGAAACTTTCTCTTGCTAGCAATGTTTTGATCGAACTAACCAATGACAAAGAGTCGTTGAAGTCTGAACTTGGTGAAATCAAAGCCAAGTACAAATTGCTTTTTGATAGCCGTGAGTTAGACGTGACGAACGCTGCTCGCAACGCGAAGAACAAAATTGCCTCGACATGAAAAGATATACTTAGCCAAGTGAAGTTACAATTGGCAGGGAGGGATGCTATACGCAGGCCTCTTGTCATGGTTTCCGAGATGAAAGCTAACTACGAGCTCCTGGAGGAAATCGTTAAAGGCGAGACCGTGGACTTTCAAGCTGAACTCGAGTCTGTTTCCTTAGACAAGATAACGATGAATCATGTCATATCTTCCGATACTCTGTTTTACGTGACCTATCCTTTTTTATTTTATTTTAGGTGGAAGCTAAAGAGAAACTCTCCGAAGCTGAGGTAAGGATTCCACCTCTTGATCTGTCTCTGTTGGAGCGTCTCGTGTCCGGTTCTACTCTTGGGCCCGAGACAGCTGTGGAGTTCATTTCGTCAATTCTCCCCTTTAATCAATTCGGGACCAATGCAGGAGTTCTCTTAGGCGAAATTTGAGAGAACGAGGTCTTAGAAACCGAGGAAGATGCTTGAACTTATGCTATTCTATGTTCTACTTTCGTGACGGCCTTCGAGTCTCATGTCTTTATTGGGCTCATACCCAACTATCTATGTCTTTTTTTATGACCTTCAGGTCTCTTGTCTTTCTTTGGTTTATTCTCAACTTTTAATAAGAAAAGAATCTTTTGCTTCGAAATTCTCTATGGTATTTCTTTAATATCCATTCTCAATGAATTATTACTAAACGTTTTGGGCTCGTCATATGGGACCAAACCACTTCATGCATTTGCACAAATACTTCTTTCTAGCCCCCTTTCATAATTCTTAACGTGCGCTAGAAGGCTCCCGGACTTCCTTCTTCTGTTTTTTTTTTTAAGGAAAGCTCATTTCCTTTATAACAGGCTTCATATCTCTCGAAAGAAAATAGAAAAAAAAGAAAGCACTCACGGTAAGATGGATCTGGTTCGAATGCTTTAATTTGAGAAGGTATTGATAAAAATGACCAGTTTGTATCTTTTATTTAATTTAATACAAGCTATAAAAACGATGAGCATGTTGCCCTTTACACAATCCGAGATGGACTTCGTAAAAATGATGACGAGCTTGTAGCTCTTTACATAATTCGAGACGGATTTAGTAAAAATAATGAACTTGCACCTCTTTGCATAATTCGAGACGGACTCGGTAAAAACGATGGTGAGCTTGTAGCTCTTTGCATAATTCGAGACGGACTCGGTAA